GGGGGGATCGCACGGAGGCTGGTGTTCACTTGGCTGTCGCTCCCCCGTTGGCCCCCTGCCCGCCCGGCCTGGATGGACCCGCAGAGCCGCCCCCCTGTCTCCCCACCTTCCTTTGGTAAGGATGGCGCGGAGCCCTGCCTCGTGTTGTCTTTTTCATTTCGGCGCCGTAAGTGCTGCCGGCCAGGGCACCAGGCCAAGTGCTGACTCCGCGTTCCCTCCCGAGGCCCGGCCGAGTGGCCTGCCAGAGGGATCGGTGGCCCTTTGCTGCTCTTTCCAAGCAGGGAGTCGGTTTCTGTTTGCGTCTGAGTCTCAGACCCAAACCCGGGAGGAGTCCGCTCCCCTCAACGAGAAGCATTGGGAACCTCCAGGGTGCAAGGTAGATGTCAGTGGGGTCCCCAGCAGCTCCTGTGGCTGGGGGTTCAGACCCCAAGAGCTGGTGTGCCGGCCACCTCTGAAAGTGCCCTCGTGGTGACCGCCCAGTGCCCTTTGCCTCGAGGCCTGCCGCTTGTTTGCGGGACCCCGTCGGTGTGGGGTTCTGTGTTACCAGCGGGTTGCGTTCCTACTGCGCACGTGCGCTCTGGCTGCTGGGAAGCACTCAGCATCAGACACACAGCAGTGCCAAGCTGGTGAGGCCTTTGCGTCCCTTCTGAGGGGGTCAGGGCTGGGAAGGGGAGAAGAATGAACTCTGGGGACTCGCCACTTCAGTCTGCACGTCTCCTGTCTCCAGGAGGAGGCTCGCGGGCCAGGCCCTTCCTGCCGTGCACCGGTAAGGAAAGGTCACCCTGATTTAAAATGTTGGAAATGTCCCTGTCTCCCATTTGGTGGCCATTGTCCCACAGGGCTGATTGGTTCTCTTCCCTGCTGGCTTAAACCTTTGAGATGAAACAGAATGATTCAGGACCTGATTAAACGATGTACCGATCATTATGGGGAGAAGTAGATAGATTCATGGGACATCCGGCCCCTATACTTGTGAGGAATCCTTTAAAGCAAACCTGAAGTTCCTATCCCGTGGCTGAGAGAGAGAACCGGAAGCCCGGCTCATCCTGAAGCCAGGTTTGGTGACGGGACTGGGCTCTGCCGGGGGTGAAGGAGGGCAGCCGCCCGGAGTTGGTTCGTAGACGTGAGGAAAGATGCGAAAGGGGGTTAGTTTGTGGTTCTGTTTGGAAAGACAGCATAAACAGCCGTGGTGACCTTCTGTTTCACCACCGAAGTAACGTGGCATCCCTGCTTTGTTAAAGATTGACGAGCTGGAGGAGCAGTGCAGCGAGATAAACAGAGAGAAGGAGAGGAACACGCAGCTGAAGCAGAGGATCGAGGAGCTGGAGTCCGAAGTGCGGGAGAAGGAGACGGTGAGTGGGCCGGAGGGGCCGTCCATGCCTGGGACACGGCAGGTGTCTGGGGAGCACGTGACTTGCCTGGCAGCTGCCTGGGCATCCGAGGGGGACCGCCCAGAGCTGCATCGAGGCACAAACGCTCAGAGCACGGGGCCGACCCTGCCCTGCGCAGCCCCCACACCAGCTGTGTCGCCAGGCCAGGCTGGACGCTTATGAAACACTCGGAAACTGTGACAGGTGATCTGCGATCAGGCAGTTGTTTTCGCCCCGGGGCGGGGGTGGGGGGGTTGGCAGGACAGCTGAGGTACCAAACCTCCCAGCCTCAGTTTCCCCATCTGCAAGTTGGGGATCGTAAGAGCACCTGTCTTTTCTGTGGCGGTGTGCAGACTTCACGCGATAACAACACCTAACACACCCGGCTGCGCGTTACGTGTTAACTTCATCCCCGTTGTCGTTACGCAGACGGTACGGACTCAGCATAGCTGCCTCCGTCGGCTGCACACGGGTCGTGGACGTTCACGAGGGCTTTTTTTTTTTTTTTT